CTTTTTTACTTCGCCTTTGACCGCATGCATTGTATTTTTCTTTTAGGCCGTAAGTAATGAAATATTTGGCGAAAGCTACGAATCAACTTTTTTGCCGGTACCACGCCCCGAACGAGGTCTGTCTTCCTGTACAGCGTTTATACGAATTCATCTCCTGTCACTCCTTTGGTGAATGATATAAGAGAATTTGATAATTTTAAAACAAAATAATTTAAAACAAAACAATCTGAGGAAGGGCTGGAATAAGAATGATAATCCCAAATAAAAATGTTTTAGTCTATTAAGTCGTATACGTTTCTATTTAGTACTATAACTGGATTTTTTCAGTATGGCGGTTGCGGTAGTAAAAAATTTGACAAAGAGGGAATTGATTAGGGTCAAAGAAGAGTGAGAACTAAAATGCAAAAAAGAAAAGTAGGAGTATGAGTAAAAGTATGAAAAGTAAGGATTCAACTGTAAGCATGAATGTAAAAGTATGCAAGTGCAGTGTTTAAAAGTATGCAGCTGCAGCGTTTTCTTAGATATCATATATTATTATATATGATATCTAAGAAACTTTTTAATATCATTAGTAATAATTTGACAGCACAACGATTGCAGGTGCGAAAATGCGTTTCGTGCACAGTTTTCCTTTAGATTTTTGTCGCTATTGGCAGTATTTTTTCCGTCTCTGGCTATCACAACTGTAAGAAATTATTGTGACAACTCCCAAAGCTCTCTTTGCCATGACCATGCTGAAAAAAATCCAATACTCTAGATGCTTCGGTTGTGGAGTTACGTCAAATTTCACATGCTCGTTTACGAAAGGAACGTGAATGATGTAAATGATGTCTGTGGCCGCGCTCAGAAAATTTTAGCGCTCTTGGTGCTTTGGTTGTGAAGTTACATCAAATTCCTCGTGTTCGTAGATGGGGGACGGACCCAAACTCGTTCAGCGGCCAAGCTGTAAAAGTTTCGATACTGTAGCTGTTCTCGTTGCAGTGTTACATTAGATTCCATGTGTTCGCACGTGAAGCGTGAAAGTGTATTTCTGCCCAAACACGATGGTGGGCCATATTCGGGAAACCTGAGCACCCTGGCTGTCTTGGTTGTGAGGTTGAGTTAAATTGCATGTGATAGTATGTGAGAAGGAATAATAAATGTTTTTACATGTCCTTGTTCAAACATGGGTCCTGGGTCATGTTCGGAAATTTTTAGCGCTCTAGCTCTTACGGTTGGGGAGTTGCGTTAAATTTCACATGCTCGTACGTGCTGCATGCGTGAGACGTGAAAGGGACATGAAAATTGTTTTCACTTCCACCTGGTCAAATGCAGCCGTCGGCCACGTCCAAGAATTTTAAGCCTTCTACCTACTTCATTTCCGAAGGTGTTTACGTCAAATTCCACATGTTCGTATGTAAGATCAGAGGAGCTGGAAAGCTCAATTATTTTCATGAATGTGTCAGTGGGCAGCAAGCAAAATTGTAAAATTACTGCCCCCTTCAACTTTCTGGTTAACTTAATTTTCGAACCGACGCGATGCCAGTTTAGACTTGGACGTGTACGTACTTAGGGGTGCCTGGAAGCTGAATTTAAAATCTTTGGGTCGGGCGTGGGCAAGGGACATCTTCGTGAATTTTCAGACTTCTAACTTGCGTCGTTTCCGAAATCGCTTCCCCACCAAAAAGTCACCTCCCCGTGCGTGAGAACCACATGGACAAAGTCTTTCGTTTTGAGGCTAGGAACGGCACATAGGTGCAGAAGTCGCCAAAGCTTCAGCCTTGTAGTTTTTGTAGTTCTTGCGTTGGAAACTCGGTACAGACGCACACATGGTCACCACACACACAAAGACAGCCTCTCTAGGGTTTTTGCATTGCATAGATGCAGGAAAGGCATAAAAATTTCAGAGTGCGTTCTGCGGGCAGTTTCCTGTACTCCGTCAATCACTTCTTTGCGTAAGCCGAACAGATTTACAACTGTTGGTATGCAGGGACTAATCAGATCACCTGGTGTACGAGTTCTGGAAGCAGGTATCCCCATTCCTCACCTTCTGCAATAGCTGTCTTAATCCGTATAGTGCATAAAACAGGTTCTGCAGTTTGCAGTAAAAGTTTGTATAAATTTCTGTTCAAGCTCATCGTGGAGTAGGAATGGCACCTGTCTGGAGTGGAGTAGGTTTAAGTATGATATGAAGACGGTGTGATATTTTTTTGGGTTAAGCTTGGGCAGTGCGTACCACTGTCAGTCTGACATCGGAAAGTTTTCTATAACTGTTGGACTCGGCCATCAGCTTGTTTCTAAGCAACCGCGGAAGCTGTCGCTACAGCCTTCGTGGCCTGTGGATGTTGTTTGTCGCTCTACCAGTCGATTTGCTTCGACATGCTTTTGTCTGGCCCAGGGAACGGTTTACAAAAGAGTTTACTTCTGAATCATGGGATGACTGGTTTTTCTTCGGGCGAAGTCGAATTGTCGGCTTAATCACAAAAGCAGCCCCGTTG